TTTTTTATATGCATGCGATGGCCACTGTCATTGTGCTGCTACGACCATCCTGTGATTGTGGGGAGGGACTGCAATCACATCACCGTTTACCATCATTGCACAACCATAGGGGAGGACCAATGTCTCACACATCTGGTTGTTTCCATTACTGACCAGTGGAAGCACAGGTGTCAGGCAGCTTGAAGAATTTAGAGGCATTTGGAAGCTTCTTCTCCAGGAATGATTCATAGTTTTTATTCCCGCCTGCCGCCTTTAGTCCATGATGTTGTCCTCAGTGCTCTTCAGAATCTGCGAGCACTGGAAAATGATCTAAGTGCAACTATTACATATAAATTAATGTTAAGTAAAAGTCCTTTACATAATAAAAGTATTTATGTGATTTACCAAGCTTTATTTGATGTTGGCAATTTTTTTTTTTTAAAGCTAATTTTAACTATTGCAAATAAAACGTCCCAAGAGCCAGTTAAGGTCACCAGGAAACAGCATGTGCAAGGCCCCACCCATGTCCTGCCACCTGACTTGCACAGCACCCAACTCTGATGACTCTCCTCGAAGGTGGTGGGTCCGTGGGAAGGTGGCTTTTTGTTGGTTTTTCTGACTTGGCCCAGCTGAGCCCCAGGAGCCGAGACTATCCTAACTCCACTCCCTGGCCTGACTCTTGGAAGGTGCCTCACGTTCCCTGATCCTGCATGATTGTCACAGTTTGCCTTCATCATTAAGGTCTTTGAATTGCGCTTTGTTGGACCCCTCCCCTGAGGCCAGTTTGCCATGTCCACCAGAGACTAGTGCCTCAGACAGCAAACCCCTCAAGATCACATGGGTACTTAACATCCTGCTCGATTTTTAGATAGTGATTCTTTGGGCATTGTTCCAGTTTGTTTGGTGTGGGGGGGGGCGGGTGTCTTGAAGTAGAGTTTTTGCTTCTCTGCATGAAAATGAGTAAGCTGAGGTGATTCGGGCATCTGATTATGTGTTTAGAGTATCTCTTTCTGGAGATGCCAAAACAGACCCAGAACTCGCTCTATAGGAAGACCTCCCCCAGGAGGAGTTGTAGAGTGTTGCTAGGAAAAGGGATGTCTATGTTTTCCTTCCTGGACCTGTTGTCTCCGCAACCCAACCACAAATTAGTTGCATGAAATGGATGAGTGGATATTACAAGGTTCAGTCTTAAACAGTTTGAAAGATTTTGGGATTTGTTTCTAGCATTTTCCAGACCTTGGTAAGTATGAAAAACAGAGTATGGAAAGCCATGTGTGTTTACAGACTTGCCTCCCCCCTTTAATTTTTTAGAATAAAATGTGACGTTCTAAAAATAAATTAGTCGACTATGTAAAGAGTTTATTCAGTTTCTCTTATAAAGAAGGGAACTCGATGGCAGCACCTCTTTTGGCAGATATCTGTGAATGTTAAACTTGAACTTTATGAAATTAGTCAAGTTTAAAAGATGCTTTGTAAGTGCGGACATTTCTCACATGATCCTTATACTGAACGGATATCACATGTTAGTCGAGCCTGAAAACAAATGTTACGTCATATGTTACTCTAAAAGGTAACAGCTTTACAAACGTTTTATTAAAGAAGACTCAAACACAGTGGGGGGGAAATAGAAACTGCAGTTTCAAGGATTTTCACTACTACAAAAAGCCAGAACAAACATAAATAAATAAATGCCATGAAACATTGCTGAAAATGTAGAATTATCATAACCAGAACACCATTCTACTGTATGCAAATTACATTTTAGTCCCATTTGTGGTTTTAAGTCATCCTGACATGATTTGTTCTATTAATTTGATGGTGTTTAGAATAGAATAGAATTAAACTTCATTGTCATTGCACATGTCACAAGTACAAAGCAACGAAATGCAGTTTGCATCTATCCAGAAGTGCTTAGAAAACAAAAGAAATAGGTATATATATATATATATATATATATATATATATATATATTATAATGTACAGTAAGTTGCTTTGAATATACTATAAGTATAAATACATACAGGTTGTGAGTGTGCGGACTATGAACAGGTTATAAATATGAAGGGGTATAAACAAACTATATAAAAGAAAAAAAAATATATATATACAGTAAGTATGTGAGTACTTATGAACAGTAGGTAGTAGACTATGTGTACAGTTTGTACAGTAGTGGGCTAACAGATGAAAGTGCAGGTGGTGGTGTTACAGTCCATGTGTTGTTGTGTTTATGAGAATACAGACCGTTGTTGTTGTTTGAGCCCTGATTTAAGTTTTAGATTTTTTTTTTCAATTGACACATGCTATGCTATAAAATAATGACTATTATTTCTACATAACATGCACAATTTTGACATTTTTGTTTTTTGTCAAATGAACAATGAAAATGTCCTCTGACCATCCTGCTTTTTTTGCCCCCAGAAGGAGTAAGTACAGCAAAGCCAAGCAGGACTCAGATGAAGAGAAGCACTTACATCAAGGTAACATAGTTTACTCTCCACCCACGCACTCTATAATTGAAAAATATTAGTGCTGTCAGGTGTGCTCATGTGCATGCACTCTAAACCACAAAAAAGCCCATAAAATGTGGGTGAAAACAAACTATTTTGAAGTTAATGTACTTGCTTGCTAACATGTTTCAAACACCTCATTATCAAGTCATCAACGTTGTTATTTGCATGCCACAAAGATTCCAAGTTAATGAACTCCATGTTTGTTGGAGCCAGCCACAGTGACATGAAATGCAACGGAGTCACAGTGTGAGGTGAGGTATGGAGAAAAGAGGAGGAGAGGATCCAGAGAGGGAAGGCGGTGTAGCCTGCAGCATGATTGAAATAAAAACAGATGGGGAGTAGAGAGGAGAGTTGCTGGAATAAACTAAGTTAACATCCTCCGTTCTACCCCCCCCCCCCCCCCCCCCCCCCCAACTTTCTTCCATTTTTCTTTTACATTCTTATTTTCACAGGAGTGAGGATATATGTTGACCCGTTTACCTACGAGGATCCAAATCAAGCTGTCCGTGAGTTTGCCAAGGAGATTGACGCCTCCTGTATCAAGATTGAGAAAGTTATTGGCATTGGTGAGGAAAAAAAAGTTTTTTAAATTCAAGTCTAAATAGGTTGTTCAGGTTTTTTGCCAATACAAAATAATCATTGTCATTAATCACCGAGTATGAAACTTGCTTATTTCCAGACAACAACATTTGATAAACCTCTAGAAAGTTCAGCTAGTCAAAGAAAATTAACGAGGCTAAATATGTGTGCTATTCCTGTGGCCGGAGAAAAGTCATCCAGTGACAAAATAATAAAGCTAAAGAATCAATATCCATTTCCTTTTCTTTTTCTGCTCTAGTGGATAAGAGAAAGAGGAGGGCAATAGGGGATTAGAAACCCTGATCAATGTTTAAGGTGGAAACCTTTGGATCTGTACACACAAAAATACACCATTTAGGTTTGATTTATAGTCAGCAGATCAGAATGTGTGTGTTTGTGTATTATTGTGCTTAATCTACAATGTGTTCCTAGGAGAGTTTGGTGAGGTTTGCAGTGGCCGCCTCAAGATGCCAGGCAAGAGGGAAATCTGTGTGGCCATAAAGACCCTGAAGGCCGGCTACACTGACAAGCAGAGGAGGGACTTCCTGTCTGAGGCCAGCATCATGGGCCAGTTCGACCACCCCAATATCATTCACTTGGAGGGTGTGGTCACCAAATGTAAGTTCAAGGGACTGCCTTTTTCTATAACTTTGAAAAACTGCCCTGTTTCAAAACCCACACACACTAAACCATTAGTTCTCAAACTGTGGTACAAGTACTAGTGCCACTGGTGGTACTTTTCTAGTGGTACTCAGAAGAACTCTTGGAAGCAATTATTTACAAGTTAAACAACATCAAAAAGGCAGAAATAGCCAAAAGGAATGTATGATCTTAGCTCCAAGTAGACTCTTCATCAAACAAAAATGCAATAATGACTTTTTCCTGCTTACACCAAGTTTACCTCAGCCATTGACTTGCAGAGCTTAGGCCTTCATCGTTCACTTGGAATCATTTGTTTTGGAACAAAAAAAAGAGCCTTGATTACAGTGTGCATGGGGCGGTTGTGGCTAAGTGGTTAGAGCAGTCGTCCTTCAATGGGGGAGTTGGGGGTTTGATTCCACCAGCAGTCACATACTGAAGCAGCCCTGGGCAACACATTGAACCCCTTATTGCCTCCAATGTGTGTCCCATCGATGTATGAATATGATCTAAAGCGCTGATTAGTCTTTGTAGAGATCTAGTAGAGTGTTGTATGAATGGGTAATTGAGGGCATAGATTGTGTAGAGAGCTTTGAGTATCTTGAGAAGATAGAAATGTGCTATATAAGTGCAGTGCATTTACCATTTACATGGAACTGTTACCAACAAGAAATGTATGAATGTCACATTTAAATCACACCCTTAGTTTAGATGTGTTTTTCATGTCTCAATGGTTTTCCCTGAATTAGTCCAATGAGTGAATCTGTTTGGAGCGGGTAGTCAAAGGCAGGAGTTAAAAACTATAACATTTTCTTAGAAATCAAAAGTACCTTTAGATTTATTGTTAGCTTTTTGAGACACGTCCTCAGTAGTGGACCTTGAGTTCATTTGGTGTAACACTAGACATCGTCATTCAAGGGCCCTGCCAAAGATGATCAGTCCTCAGTGTTTGTCCCTTAGCCAGTTGGGTTTGTTAAAAGGGTTTTTTTTTTTTAAAAGGTTTTATTGTTAGGTTAGAGTAGGGCATTCAAGAATTGTCCGTTTGTCTGTTTACTACATGTCAGATCTCAGTTTGTAAGCTTAGTATTGGTTATTGTATTATTGAGCATGCATCAGGATACTTGTAGTATTGGTTTTTATTGGCTGGTATAATGGTGGTACTTGAAGAGCTTAGTATTTCCTGAAGTAATACCCATTATGAAATGTTTGAGAACCACTGAACTAAACTATTTGCACACACACTTGCTGTAATGTTACAGTAGCACAGAAAGTTCAGTTATTTCGGCTGTCTCCCTTAGAAAATGCAACAGTAAATCTATGTAAATTACAACTCACTGAAAGCTACAAAGCTGTTCATTTGTGCACTGTCAGAATGCACAATAAATTTGTACATGCATGCACTGCATACATTAGTGTAATCTGGATGTTTCGTCCACGATACCCTGAGGTGAATTTTGGTCCAGATGGAAAGGGTCCAGATCTGGTAGGGTGGGAGAAGTGGAGGTTAGAGGTAGCTGGGCATTTGTGGGGTAGTGAAGAGGGGAGGGGGTTGTAATGGGTCCAGAAACAAGCCCTGTAGCGCAACTCCAGACTCATTAATCATGGTGTCAGCTGTAAATGTGTTTGGGGTTAGGGAGTGATACCCTATCCGTTCTCTATCTGCTTCTACATGGTCACAGAACACCGGCCAAAACTCTCCCCTTCTGCCCTTGGCACTCTCTCTCTCACTCCCGTCTCTGCTTCTCTCACACTTTCACACCTTTCTGCAATGGTAGTTGTTAAGCTGTAGCTGAATGAGTGTGTTTGTATAGGAATGTCTTTTCAGCACTTTGGTTGCATGCATGTCTGTTTCCGTAGCTGATGGGCAGCCTCGGAGAGATGGATGAAGTGCCTTAATGCGTCGAGTCACAACAGCCCAGCCATATCAGTGCCAGATAACACTGTCTCTACCTCTGCTGTACACACTGGCTTCACACACGCACACATAGATGGACGTAAAGAGACGAGAGCAGAGCCGACACTCTGCTCAGCCAGAGCTGAAAGTGAACAGCAGCAGCAGCCAGAATTGCTTATCACCTATCACACCTATCACTGTGCCGAGTGACCCCTCGGACCTCACAGAAATGGAGTGAGAAAGACAGCGAAAAACCAGACAGATAGACAGAAGAAAAGAAGGAAGAGACATTGGACACAAGCAGAAGCCAGGAAAGGTGTAAACAAAAATGTGAATAAGAAGAGATGGGATAGGGGAGAGTTAGAAAGTGGGGAGAAAGACAAAGAACAACAGAAAGAAAAGGCAGGAGGAGTGTGGAACTAACTACTAAACCAACTGAATAAGAAAGAGGCAAAGCAAGATGTGAAGGAGAAGCAAATGAGCTACATAGTGTTGACAAAAGTCAAACCAGGAGGGCAACTAATTACTCAATTCAGTTCAGTGTATTTATATAGCACCAAGTCATAACATAAGTCATCTCAGGGCACTGAACAGAAACATTCCTATACATTATAAAAGCCAATTAGTAAAAGTTATCTATCTGAGGATGCTGACATATTGTGTTGAATCTTCACTTCATCACAGTCTCCCATTCTGAGCAAGCCCAAAGACGACAGTGGAAAGGAAAAAACACTTTTAACATGAAGAAACTTCCAACAGAACCAGGCTCAGGATGAGCGGCCATCTGCTTCGACTGGCTGGGTTTGAGAGGACAGGAAGGAAAAAAAAAAAGCATAGAATGGCAGGTCCAGGTGTACTTTCTATAAAGACAAAAAGAAAGACCCCCCCCGTCCCAAAAAAAAATAAAAAAAAATAAAAAAATAAATAAATAAAAACCAACATTGATAGAAATAATTACGGTACAAATACAAATGGGCAGAGTACAGTAAGTAAAGACAGCAGCAGAGTGGTCAGTTTGTCCTCCAGCAGGCTAAGCCTATAGCAGCATAACTAATGGACAGCTCAGGAAACCAAGCCAACCCAAACTATATGATTAATCACAAAGGAAAAACTCAAGCCTAATCTTAAAAGTAGACAAGGTGTCGGCCTCACGAACAGAAACTGGAAGTTGGTTCCACAAGAGAGGAGCCTGATAACTGAAAGATTGATAACTGAAAGATCTTCCTCCCCTTCTGCTTTTGTAAACTCAAGGAACCACAAGTAAACCTACAGTCTTAAAGCAAAGTGCTGTTAGGAAAATATAGAACAATAAGATCTATAATATAAGATGGAGCTAGGTTGTTGAGAGTTTTAGTTTAGAAGTAAGATTTTGAATTATATTCTGAATTTGACAGGGAACCAATGGGGAGAAGCTAAAATCAATATATGAAATATGATCTCTTCTATCAACTCCCATCAAAACTCTGGCAGCAGCATTTTGATCAATTGAAGACTATTTAAAGAATGTGTTAGACATGAAAATAATAAACAATTGCAATAATCTAGCCTAGACATGAAAAATGCATGAACCAGTTTGTCTGCATCTTTTTTTGGACAAGGTGTTTCTAATCTTAGTGATAATATACAGGTGGAGAAAAGCAGTTCTGGTAACTTTTTTTAATGTGGGGATTAAAAGATATATCCTGATCAAACATACTAACGTTTTTTTTTAACATTAGAACTGGATGCCAATTTACCACAATGCCATCCAGAGGAAGTGAAAGACTGAAAAGTTTATTCCGAAGATGCTCAGACCCAAAATCCACAACCTCAGTCTTGTCTGAATTTAAAAGCAGAAAATTAAGGGTCATCCAGGTTTTTATGTCTTTAAGGCATGTTTGTAGCCTTGTTAACTTGTATCATCAGGTTTCATGGATAAATATAACTGTGTATCATCAGCATAGCAATGAAAATGTATCCCATGCTGTTTAATAACTTTACCTAATGGAAGCTTTACATAAAAGTGAAGATTATTGGTCCAAGCACTGAACCCTGAGGAACTCCATGACTAACTCTATAAAGAAGATTTGTTATTTAAATTTTCAATGCAAACAAGTCAAGTCAAGGTTCTTTATGGTGGATGGGTTAAAAGCAGAGACTAATTTTGCCATTGTATGGAAACATACAGTGATGACAATGTGATGACATTATTATT